ATGTAATATTTACATATAACCTATGAACATCCTAGGGAGGAGAAGGGAAGAGTATAGAGAAGGATAACAAGAGAACAAATAGAGATGCATGACATTAGTGGGACATAGAAATGATTTATTACCTGTTGATGATAACGTGTATAGTATTCTCAACTGGACTGGTCTGAGAAGTATTTCATTTTGGGTAAATGCTTTATACAAACCAAATGATATATAGTGATTGACTGTTTAAAAATAATGAGAATAAATAATAATAATCTGAAAAAAATGATGAAAAGCTGTTTGATGATGATGTGGATAGTAATGTCTTTGTCTTGACTGATATGCATGTAATCATGCTGGAAAAAGAAATGTAATACACTGTAAAGATATATGTGAGTCAATGTAATATAAAAATATGATAATAAATAAATGTAAATAAAAAACAAAAAGTACATTCTCCATGTATGTGTGTGTATGTGTATATATATGTGTGTGTATATATATATATACACACATATATATTTTTATGTGTATATATATATATATACATTTTTTTTTGCTAGAGAGCATGCACACATGTAAGAAGAGAGACAGAAGAGAGAAAATGAGATGTGGTCACGTCACAATCCCTTTTAATCCATTTCTCTATCCCATCAGGATTTTAGGCACATGTGCACATGTGCCTGGAGTGTCTTTCAAGCCATCAGGACTGGGACTCCTATACTATGGGCCATCTGAGGCCTAGCATCCCATGTACTCTGCTTAATCACTATACCATGGGGCTGGTCCCTCCCACATACTTTTAAATTATCTCTAGGTTACTTGTAATACCTAGCACAATGCAGATATTATGTAAATAGTGGTGATTCTGTACCGTTTTTTATTTGTATTTTTATTTTTGTATTGTTACGTTTATTGTTTTTTTCTGAGTATTTTCCATTCACAGTTGGTTGAACCAGTTAATGTGGAACCCACAGGAATTGAGAGCTAACTGTAGAGTAAAATATTAATGGTAAAGTTCAGGTAGTAAGCTGACTTTCAGATCTGGTGGCTTGCTTTCTCATTTCCCCCCTCTCTGTCTCTCTCTGGTCAAATTAAAATAAATAAATAAAATAAAGTTTTTAAAAAATGAGGTAAATATATTTGAAATTATATCCAAGTTATATATTTAAAAATATGCAGTATAATACACTACTTCTTGTGAAATGTTTATATATGCAATAACATATATCCGAAAGGATATAGAGGAAACTGGTAAGATTGGTTTTCTCCAGAGAGTTTTGCCAAAAGTGAATGTGATGCCATTCTGAGTTGGAAGAAGACTCTCTGGTACAGTTTTAATTTTTTCATGAAAGGTTAATACCAAGTGTTTACTTACAAAGGATGTGTTGGTTCTAAGAATTGTTTCTGAACTGGAATGAGTTTTGTCCAGGACATTTACAGTGGAATTCATTCCAAAGCTGACATTAAGAAACATTTAACAATCATTTTACATCATGCTTCCAAGAATGTCAGAAGACTTTTTCCATTCCCAAGCCCTTTAAAAGAAGTGTTTTTTCCCTAAATCTAATTGTTATATGTATGCCCATTGTTTGACAAACTGGAAATTCTTGGCTTTTTATGGCCATAACTCAAGTACATAGCTGGCACATGTAATCATTTCCATTAAACCAGCACACCTTTTCTTAGGCAAATGTGGATATAAAAAATTTTAAGTAGAATAGTTTCCTCCAGGAAAATATGAGGAGTTTAAAATTTTAGTCAACGACTAACCCGATCTTCCCTTTTTCCTCCTACTTGTTTATTCAATGGAAAGGAAAAACAACCTTCCAGAATTTTCAGTTTTGAAATGATTTTCCAGTTTGGATTGAAGCAGTCTAAACAAAGGCTTTAGATAATATGTACACAGTAATACTTACTATAGCAAAATAGATGTTTTTTAAGAAAGTTCATTGTTTAGTAAAACAATATTACACCATAGAGTTGGGGCGAGCAGGTGGAATGTGGTTAAGGTGCCAGACTCCCACATGGCTAAATGTGGTTCAAGTCAGCAGCTTGAAAAATCATGCCAGACACGTGTACACACATGCCCAAAATCCCGAGAGGAGAATGAAGGAGAAGGGATTGCACTGTAGCCATCTTCCCTAGGGGGTGATTTCTCACTTTCCCTCTTTGTCTCTGTAGTTTCTTGTAAGCACACACTCCTCTATGGCAAAAACCTTAAAAAAAAAAAAAAAAGAAAAAAAGGTCTTATACAACAGAGTTTAAAAAAAAGAAGGTGCTGTCAGTCATGTATATATGTCTCTCAAAAAAAAACGAAAACAACTAGTCGAACAAAAATCAAAAGCGTACAATGTAATGTTCTTTGCTGAAGATGAATATGGCAATATCCTTGGTTTGATTATCATGCATTTTTTTTGAGTGCCAGTAGTTTATTTGGGAGGTGTGGGGACAGCAGAACGTGAAGGCATGACATATGGAGGGAAGGCAGCCTATGAAGAGGAAGCTAAGCTGGCTACTACTGTGAGTGACTGCAGCCTATTGCCTCAGTGAAGTTGGGAAATTGGTGTAAAATACATCCCAGAATTATTCCACCCAAGTGGGTAAGGAGCTTGATGTATGCTGGCTTAGTCATAAATGTTATCATCACAAATATAGCAAGATAAAGGATGATCTGAAAGGCAAGAGAATACCTTAAAATTTTTTCAAAAGGAAAAATTAACAAAAAAAAAAAAGAGAAGACAGAGAGAAGCAAAGAGAGACAGAGAAGGATAGAGGGGCACCCTACCACTTGAGACTGGGGGCTGGAGGCTGATTTATCAGTAGACAATCTTCATTTCTCTCATTCCCTGAGAGCACTAGTTCTCAGCTGCAATGGAGGAGTCTTCTTCTGAAGGCCTGCCCCTTGCCTCTCCACTCGGGACTGGGGGCTGGAGGCTGATTTATCAGTAGACAGTCTTCATTTCCCTTATTCCCTGAGCGTACTACTGAGAGTACTAGTTCTCAGCTACAGTGGAGTCACACACTGCATGCATGTTTTGAAAAACCACATTGTGGCCCATAAAGATGTACAATAATTAAATATAAATGAGAAATTATGAAATAAAATATAATAAAAATAGATAAAAGGCACTAGAAAAATGTTTTAGTGCTCAAGATTTAATAATTTAATGAAGTATACTGCAGTTTTCTGCCTTATTTAAACAATTTCATTTTTTATATAACTTTAAATTATGAAAGCAGTACCTGTTCATTGTAAGAATGTTATAAAATTGCAGATGTCCAAACGAAAGGAAATAAAGGTACTTTGAATTTACCATCAATGATAACTAATATAGGGCCACCCTCATGACCTGGTGGTTAAGAGAGCTAGATCCCATATAGCCAACCATATGGTTTGAACCCCTTCCCATTGACTTGGAAAATATACTGAGCCTGTGTGCATTTGGACCTAAAATCCTGACAGGATGGAGAAATGAAGGAGAAAGAATTGTAACATGACCACGCTCCATTGGGTGTGCTTTCTCCTTCTCCTCTCTTTGTCTCTGTCTGGCAAGTGCATGTGCCCTCTGGCAAAAAAGCAAAACAAACAAACAAAAAATCTGCCATTAACAGCCTCTGGTATATATTTTTCTAATTTGTGTATATGGAGAGAGAGAGAGAAAGTGGGGGTTGAAATGGATTGTATTGTATATAGGGGGCAGTGTAACAACTTAGTTAGGAACTCAGCCTCTGAACTAAAACAAAAGTAGTCACTTGAGTCCTGTTTCTGCTATTTAATAATTACATGATCTTAGGCAATATTTAACCTCTGTAAACCTCATGTAGAAAACAGAGGTACCTACATCTTAGGGTTGTAGAATTAAAAACGGATAATTCATACAGAACACTCCATGTGTAAGCTATAACTGTCTTTGTATAGTTCACATTTAGAGTCACATTTTTATTCAAAAGTATGGTTTCACATCCTCTTTAAAATCACAATTCTTAACTTGTTGTTTAGTTATTTAAAAAAAATTTCCCATCCTTTATTAAAATATTTGTCTTTCTTTTTCCAGATGCTTAGATTTGCATATTTAAGCCTGTTAAAAATTAGTCACCTGTAGAATCGGGAGTCTGAGACTTTCTATTAAAATCTGAATAACGGGGACCAGCAGTTAGCGTAATGGCTATGACACTGAACTCCCATGTAGTCGACCACGGTTCGAGTCCTGAACCCGGTGGCTTAGACTCACGCCAGACGCATAATGCATGCGTGTCCAAGATCCTGAGAGGAGATTGCAGCATGGCCACCTCCCCGGGGGGTGATTTCTCGCTTTCTATCTCTCTATCTCTCTCTGTCTTTCTGGGGAGCACACGCGTCCTATAGCAAAAACATCTAAAAAGATCTGAATAATGGGACCAGTAGGTGGCATAATGGTTACATCTCTGGACTCCCACGTAGTTGGCTATAGTTCGAGTACCAGACTGGGCAGCCTAAAACTCATGCCAGGTGTGTATGCCTGTGTGCCCAAAATCTCAAGAGGAAAATGGAGAAGAGATTATGGCATGACCATCACCCCTGGGAGGTGGTTTCTCAATTTCTGTCTGTCTTCTCCAGTGAGTACATGCACCTTATAGCAAAAATCTCTCTAACAAAAACATCTGTGGATGACAGATAAAATTCTTCATGTTAACGAATGAATGCTCTTCTTTCATGTAATTGGAAAATAGTCTAGGACTAAGTATGGTCTTGTTTTTTGTGGTTCAGGAGTCATAAGTGCCTTCCCTTCTTCTTAAGCAGGGTTAGTATTACTTGGGAGTACGGAGATCACTGGATCACTATAGCTGCCTATAAAGCTTATAGCAGTAGAGGCCAGCAGGTGGCATTGTGGTTAAGGCACTGGACTCCCACATGGTTGACCATGGTTCAAATCTCTCTGGCGAGCACATGCACCTTATGACAAAAACCTAAAAAAAAATAAAAATGTTTACAGTGATAATAACCAGCTCTATATCTTTATTCTCTTTTTCCTCAGGACTCCATATCATCTATAGCCTAGATGAAGTCAATTTCATACAGAACCTTGTGTTTTACATTGAATCTGCATATAAAACTGCTGTAAGTATTTATTTTGTAATGAATTTTAAACATAGGATGTTTTTGGTTTTTTTAAATACTGGGCAACCCATTCCTTATTTTAATACTGCTCCTCATAGTGAACCAATCTAAAAGGCTTCTGGAAGAAATTGTCTTCAGCCTCTTTCTTTTCTAAGACCTACCATATTCTGTTTTCTTTTTCCCCGAGGGGGTTACAGAGACAAGAGGATCAATATGCTATGCTTTCATTCCTTTCAAACTCTATGATATCTTATGCATGTAGCAATCTGAAGCTAAATTATGGTCTTATTTTAATGATATAAACTCTTAAGCAAGAGCAAGATGACTAGGGAGTATTATGGTCAGTTAACTACTTAGAAATAAAATTTATTATGTGTTTAATAGTATCTGTAGTATCTGTTGATTCAACACTAAACTACACAAAAATGATTAGTTTTCCTTACAACTACCATATGATGAAGTTTATATAAAATCATTATATTTTGATTACCTTCTTTATATAAATTGTTATGTAAGATATTACAGGAATACATTTTTCTTTGGTCAACATAAACAGCTTTTTGTCATTGTTCTTTGAAGCTTTATTTATAATTTCTAAAACTAAACATACCCCAAATTTGTCAATAGGTAAATGGATAAACAAAGTGCAGTGTGTATGGAGATACTACTCAGCAGTTAAAAAAAGAACTGTTGGGACCAGCAGTTGGCGTAATGGCTATGTCAGTGGACTCCCCCGTAGTCGACTCCATGTTGAGACCTGGACCTGGTGGCTTAAACTCACGCCGGGCGTGTGTGCGTGTGTGCCCAAGATCCCGAGAGGACAATGGAGAAGGGATTGCGGTGTGGCCATCCCCCCAGGGGATGATTTCTCGCTTTCTATCTCTCTGTCTCTGTCTTTCTGGCGAGCACACGTGCCCTATAGCAAAAAATTCTGAAAAAAAAAAAAAAAGAACTGTTTATCCATGCAACAATGTGGCATTATGCTTAGTAAAAAGAGCCAGACCAAAAATGTACACAGTGAAATTCTCGAAATCTGTAGTGACAGTAAGCAGATGCATGGTTGCCGCGGAACAGAGGCCCAGGGAGAGATGAATTACAGAGGGACATGAATAGACTTTGAAATGTTCATTATTGTCACTATTGTGGTGATAGTTTTCAAAATGTAAACATATGTCAAAATTAATCAAACTGTACAGTTTAAATATGTGCATTATTTTGATAACAGTTATTGCTCCATAAAGACGTTAAAGCCATTATTATTGGTGGAAATGATTAAATGAAATCAGTCACTCCAGTACTGTACTGGAGACATCCTATCAGATCTGTCTTTTCTGACTGCTCTTTGGTATTTTTCCATTTCATACTAACCACTCTTCTCCCATGAGACCAACACATTGTTTTTATTTTTGTTAGTCAATTATCTTTTAAAGAGATTTAAATAAAAATGAAACTGCTTTTCCATTTCTGGTGTTATTCGTTCCTTTATGTAGATTCAGATTTCAAACCAGTATCATTTCCTTTTGACTGAAGAACTTCCTTTAATATTTCTTAGGTCTGCTGGTGATGAATCATTTCAGTTTTTGTATGCCTGAAGAATTCTTTCTTTCACTTTAATTTTCGAAAGATATTTTCACTATATACAGAATTTTATATTGGCTGGCATTTTGTCTTTAGTACTTTAAAATTTTTGCTCTACTTTCTTGTGTTGTTTCTCATGAGAAATTTGTTATCATTCTTATCTTTGTTTCTCTCCTCATAATGTTCTTTCCCCCTGGTTCTTCTTAAGAATTTCTTCTTATTACCAACTTTAAACATTTTGATTGTTATGTGTGTTGGTGTAGTTTTATTCATGTTTTTTGTGCATATGGTTTCTTTAGTTCTGTGGATGTAGGGATATATGGTTTTCATCAAAAGTTTAACATTGACACACACACACTTCCTTCAGGGGCTTGAGATACACATGCATTTGACTGCATGATGTTGTACCACAAGACACTGATATAGTGTTCATTAAATACAAAGAATACATTCTCTTTGTATTTCATTTTGGATAGTTTCTACTGCTATGCCTTCAACTTCACTAATGTTTTCATTTATAATGTCTAATTTTCTATTCTATCTAGTGCATTTTTCCTCTCAGGTTTATTTCTATAAGTCTAGTTTGTATCTTCCATGTGTCTACTAACTTTTTGAATATATGGAATACAGTTATAATAAATATTTTAATGTTCTTGTCTGAATATTCTAATATCTGTTCCAGGTTAGTTTCAGTAGATTGATTTTTCTCAATATGGGTTGTGTTTTCTTGCTTTTTTACATGCATAGTAATTTCTGATTGAATGCCAGACATCATGAATCTTATCTTGTTGCATCCTGGATCTTTTTGTAATCTTATAAATATACCCAACTTTTGTTCTGGGATCTAGTTAAGATAGTTAGAAACAGTTTCTTCGAAACTGTTATGTGGGTACAGAGTCATGATTAACCTAGGGCTAATTATTTCCCATTACTTATGTAAGACCCTTTTGAATATTTTACCCAATATGCCTGTGAATTATGTGGTTTTCTAGTATGGCTAGTTGGAACACACAACTTTTTATGGCTAGTTGGAACACACAATTTCTGGTCTTGTGTGAGCACCAGGTAGTTTACCTCTTATTCTTTGTGAGAACAAGGCATTTTTCCTCTCATTCTTTCTTTTATTCTTTTGGGGTGGTTTTTTCCTCAGCCTCGAGTAGTATTTTCATATACATGCACTGATTATTATTTTGCTAAATACGTGAAAGGGACCCTCTTAAGATTTCTGCAATTCCCTTTATGTGTTGTTCTCTTTCTTCTCCATTAATCTGTCCTGTGAATTATAGGTACCTTGATCTCTGTATCTCAGCTCTATTTCCTTAATTTGGAGAGTCTGCCACAACTCTAGTGCAGGTTTGCCCTCCCTCCCAGGTATGCTCATTATCACTGGGTTGTTACTCCATGTTCACAAGAAGCACAAGTCTTAGACTTTTTTTTTGGGGGGGGGGAGGTTTTTGCTATTAGGTGCATGCCCTCACCATAAAGCCAGAGAGAGACAGAGACAGGAGAAATCACCCCTTATGGGGGATGGCCACACCACAATCCCTTCTCCTCCATTCTCCTCTCAGAATATTGGGCACACATGCACAAACTCTTGGCATGAGTTTAAGCCACCGGGTCCAGGCCTTGAACCACAGTCAACTACATGGGAGTCCAGTGACATAGCCATTACGCCAACTGCTGTTCCCTCTTAGACATTATGATGCAAGCGGACATTATTCGATGACTGGTCACTTTGCCTTCTGATACCACAGGCTTGCTGTGATCCAGTATAGATGTCAGAATACTTTGGCTTTTCCATTGAATCCAAGGGACACAACATTAGAATGAATGATCTTCATGCCTTCTCATACTCTAATGTTTGCTGTGCAAACTGCCGTGGAACTGGGTTTGGGAACAGGTGAGGCTAGCCATGGGCTAAATATGGTTTACTTTCCTGAAACTTCATTTTAACTAAGAAATATGATATGAAAATAATTAAAAATAGACACAGAATATAGATGTGTAGAAGGGTTGTGTATCTCTGTACATACAAATACATACGTGCGCACAAGTCTGTTTCCAAGTTTCATTTAATGAGGGATTAGAAGAGTACCAATGGTGCCCCAGTAATAATGAGTGCATCAGGTCTTTTATACTAATTACAATTTTCTAATAAAATAAACTAAGGCTCTTGTACAAGTGGTCAGTTCCAGGACTGGAGGAAGGAATATATAATACAAAATTGAAGCACCTTGTGATGCCAAAAAGTGAAGACATACTCAAAAAAGAATGGGGCATATAAAAAGGGCACAGGAGCCAACCTGAAGATATATCCAATAACCAAAGCTAGAAAATATGAGCAACAAAATAATTTGATAATTTATTATAAGCCAGAGAAAAACTCCAATATCCATAAAGTTTATACCAGTATAAATAACCGAATAAATAAATAGGGAAGAAAGGACAGATTTTCCTTAAAGAAGAATTTATTTGAGTGACTATAGAAGTGATGAGAAAATTGGGACCAGCAGTTAGCGTAATGACTGTCGCTGGACTCCCATGTAGTCAACTGCAGTTTGAGTACCGGCCTCGGTGGCTTAAAACTCACAGTGGGCACTTGTGCATGCATGCCCAAGATCCCAAGAGGAGAATGGAGGAGAAGGGATTGTGGTGTGGCCAGTCCCCCTGGGGGGTGATTTCTCGCTTTCTGTCTCTCTGTCTGTTTGGCGAGTGCACGTGCCCTATAGCAAAATACTTCTCAAAAAAAAGAAGTAATGAGAAAATTTAAAAACCACCACTAAAACACCATTGTAATGATTATTATAGGCAACCCACCAGTGGATGCTATATTAATGGATGGATGTTTGAGGAGAAATAGGATTTTTGCAGTCTTTTTATTTATTTATTTATTTATTTGAAGTAATGAGAAAATTTAAAAACCACCACTAAAACACCATTGTAATGATTATTATAGGCAACCCACCAGTGGATGCTATATTAATGGATGGATGTTTGAGGAGAAATAGGATTTTTGCAGTCTTTTTATTTATTTATTTATTTATTTATTTATTTATTTATTTATTTAAAACCACTGGCTCTAGGATTCAAGCTGTTATAGTCCATTCAGCAAGAAATAAGAGGACATCCAGACATAGCCAAATTTATTGGAGTTTATTGATTAAACCGGTGGCATATGGAGGGGTGTCTCATGTCTCCCACCACCCACCCACCCCCCACAGCCCAGAGTGAAAGGAGAAAAGAGCTTATATAGGCCAAAAATGCACAATCATCTCGGGGATGACTTGATTTACAAGGACAAAGAGCAATGGGCTTGAAGGGGTAGAGGGTAGGGCTTTTACAGAAGCAAGGCAGGTAAGTAGGTTAATCATCCTTAAAGTGATTAGGAGAAGTGGGGGTTTAAGGACAATTGGAATGTTAATCACTCTATTTACTCATAAACAAAAGGGGAGAGGGGAGGTTTCCAGTCATAGGAGTTTAACAGTTCATAATGGAGGCACTTCTCCAAGATGGAGTCCTCCTGCTTCATTCCCCACTTCTCTTGGAGGTGCTCCTCCAAGAGGGAGTCATGCCTGCTTCAAAACCACAAAGTTGACATTCTGGGACCCAGCCACCCTAACCACCAAGCCACCAGTGGGCCTGATATTTGCATAGTCTTAAAGTATCTTTCCCAATATTAATTATAGAAGAAAAAATAGTAACAGTAGAATGTAAAACTCCAGAAGAAAACACCTTAATCACATGATGAAGGTTAACATCACCAGTAACGATATATCAACATCATATGGCCCCTATATTATGCACTGAGAAAGACAAAGCATGTCTGTAATATGTATTCTTTCCAAAAATGCATAACCTTAATCAAATCATGAGAAAATATCAAGAAAACCCAAATTGGGGTAGCTACCAAATATCTGATCACTAATCTTCAAAAATTAGCAATGTCATGAAACACAAGTCTCGAGACACTGTCACTGGTTGGAAGAGGCTAAGAAGACATGATACTGCAGTGTGGAATTCTGGATTATATGCTGGAATGTAAAAAGGCCATAGTGGAAAAATTGGTGAAATCCAAGTGAAGTCCATAGTTTGGTTAATGGTATTATATTGATATTCATTTCTTAGTTTTGACAATTAGAAATTTTTAGTTTTGACAATTAATTTTGTACTATAGTTAATATAACCTAATATAGGTGTTAACATTAGTAGAAGCTGAATTAAAGATATATGGGCACTCACTGTACCATTTTTGCCACTTCTCTGTAAGTCTAAAGTGACTTCAAAATAAAGATTTTTTTTACAGTAATTTAAAAGGGTATCTTTATATTATTGAGCGACTTTATAGAGCAATGGCTAAGAAATGGGCTTTGAAGTGAGATTACTTGGACTCTAATCCTTTCTCTGTCACTTATTAGCTACGTGACCTTGGACGAATTGCTTAACCTCTGTATCTGTTTCATAATCTATAATATAATATATAAGGATTAAGGGAGATAATACTTAAGCACATAGGTTAGTGCATGGACCATTCTCAGTGCCAAGAGTATAAAATCAGAATGGATGTTTAGGTTTCATCTCCTTGATCCCCTAGCTATGTGCTTTGATGAAAAATTTTGAGAAGCACTTCTCTAGATGGACTGACTTATAGTTCTTAGCCTTCCTGATTAACTCTTAAGGAGACTTGGAATTACTTGGAGGTCCTACTAGAATTTAAAGCTATTGAGAAAGAAGCTGCAGAGTCCTCACAACTCATTAGCATCTTCTTAATAATCATTGTAGGTCTGTATGTGTATGACAGACTAGCTACTATTAATGTCTTTTATTCAAGAGTGGTGCACTTCATGAGTGTCTAGTAGTTATAACTTGCTAACCGTATACTGTTTATTTTATGCCAGGATTTTGGGATATGGGAGCGTGGAGACAAGACCAACCAAGGCATCTCAGAATTAAATGCCAGTTCAGTTGGAATGGCAAAGGTAATTTTCCTTTCTTGTTGTACAATGTATGTAATAAGGAAGTCTGGTGCAGCTTTGCCATAGATAAAAACTTAATGTGAATTTGGACTGTCATCAAATTAATTATTCTCTTAAAACACAGGCAAAAAATCAGAATATGGATGTATAGATGAAAACTTGCATAAGCTCAAAATTTGATATCCAGCTGCTTTTGTGGCCTGTCTCTACTTATATATCCCACAAGGACTTCAAAGAACATGTCTTACTAATTTCATAATCTCTGCCATTACAAAAGCAAACCAAAGGAGGCTCTCACTCCTTCCATATACCAGCTGAACAAGCTTGTTATCAGGGACCATCTCCCAATTCTCTATCCCCTTTATTCTCCTCCATCCCCCATATGATCATCAATATCATCATCACAGTCACCACCTTCCCACGTAGCTCTATCTTTTCCTCCTACCAGCTCTTAATCTTTTCTGGAAACAGCAAGAAGGCATAAAATAAGATAGCAGAAATCAGATCAAGCATATACATTATGATAAATAATGCATGATTTAATCTCTTCTACTAAGAGGCAAAGGCAGAATTAATTTCAAAAAGGAAATATATACTGTTTAAAGAGCTGTAATAAAACAAAATGGTAACGATTTAAAACAGAACAATGAACAAAGTCTGGCAAATATAAAAAAAGGCAGGGTGACAATGTAAATGTCAAGTGGAGTAGAAGTCAAGGCAGAAAATATATTGAACAGAGGACAAAGAAAGACATGACAGAATTTTTTTCTTTTTTTAAAATATTTTTATTTCATTTTCTTTTATACATTTAATCACATTATTTAGCTTACAAAGTGAACATTAAATGTGAACATTTCTCACTAGTCCAGTTGATAAAACTATACAATTCTCTTCAACAGATAATACCACATTTCTTTGTCCTATTAATGCTTTGCCTCTATTTTTCTTCTAAATGTCTTTCCTTAGACTCTACTCTTTCATACACACTATATCTTGTATTCACATCCATTTACTGTGTTTCTGTACCCTTTAGTAAATCAGTTTCAGTCATAGAGTGTGGACACTCAGTATATATTAAGTGGGGACATAGCTTTTGCCTTAGGGTGTGTGCGCTCACCAGAGAGAGACAGAGACAGTAAGAGGGAAAGTGAGAAATCACCCCCCACCACCACCACCAGGGAGGAATTATTCCCCAGGAGGAATGGCCAGGTTGCAATCTCCTCTCTTTTATTCTCCTCCTGGGATTTGGGCATGCTTGCATATGCATTCAATGTGATTTTCAAGCCACCAGATCTAGGACTTGAACGATGGTCAGTCATGTAGGAGTCCAGCAACGTAACCTCTATGCCATCTGCTGGCCTCCATGACAGAATGTTAAAAGGCACAATCTATAATGAAAAAGTCTGGTCTAGAATGTAATTTCAATTAATATAGAGAAAATATATTACAAATAAAAAAGCAAAACAGAGGACATCTGCCTCAGTGATAGACCTGGCTCACTGTGAGGGGCAGGGAGACTGAGCTGCAGAGACTGTGGCTCATCCCCTCCCCCATACACCTTTGAACTCCCTGGTGTGTTAATTGGGACTTGGATAATCTTTCCTTTCCACATTCCATTCGCCACTGGAACATCCACCCAGCAACAGCCCTGGCTGCACAGTGAGCAGCAGGGAGACTGAACTGCAGAGAGACTCTGGTTTATCCCCTGCTACATGCCTCTGAATTCTCAGATTTCATTGTATCCTGGAGTGTGTGGCACACGCTGTGTGACCACTTCTGTCTTCCTCAACTGAAACCCAGCAACTCAGCCCCAGGTGCATCTGTTCTCTAGAAACTTTGAAATCCAGGTCCACTGACAACATTGGAGGTTGCTGAGTGAACATAAGGGAGACAGATCAGCACAGAGATCACCAATCACCTCCTCTCTCACAACTTTGAGCACTCAGAATTAACTCAAGGAATTTAGGAAGAAACATAAAATACACCAGATCACCAGAAACCATCAAAGAGGCTCAAGAAATATGAGAAACCAAGAAAATATCTCTCCTCCAAGGGAAAAGATTAATTCCTCATCATCCACAGACAATACAATGGAACTCATGGAAATGACAGATAAACAATTCAGAATATTTATAGTGACAAAACTAATTAAGATGGAACAGAAAAAAGACACTGAACTTCAAAAGATGCAAGAGAAAAGTGACAACAACCTCCAGGAGATAAGGAAGTCCTTCCAAGATTTGAAAGATGTAGACACCATAAAAAGAATCAAACGGAATTGTTAGAGATGAAGGCTATAATACAGGAAATCAAAACCTCCCCCAACAGTACTAATAGCAGATTGAATTTCAGGAGTAGAAGACACAACCTCTGACCTAGAAAAAAATGCCAAAAAGACTCAGAAAATAACCAAGAAGAATGAGGACAATATATGAGAAATACTGAATACCATTAAGCATGCAAGCATCCAGATAATTGTTATACCAGAAAGTGAAGAAAATAAGAGGGGCATTGATAATCTATTCCATAACATCCTGGAAGGAATCTTTCCAAACCTTCAGAAGCATTCAAATATCCAGACCCAGGAAATACAAAGGGCTCCAAATAGAATCAACCCAAGAAGATCTTGTCCAATGCACATCATAGCCAGATTGGCCAAAACCACAAAGACAAAATACTAAAATTGGCAAGAGAGAAATGTTGAGTTACTTAGAAAGGTTAGCCCATCTGGCTAACATTGGACCTCTAATTGGAACCAATGCAGGCAAGGAAACAATGGAAAAATATATTCAAAATGTTCAATGAAAAAACAGTTTCAACCAATATTACTATACCCAACAAGATATTCTTTCACATTAGAAGAAAAGATCAAAAACATTCTCAGATAAACAAAACCCGAAAGAATTTACCAACAGCATACCAGCTCTTCAAGAAATTCTGAAGGGAGTGCTATACCAGGAAAACTAAAGTCAGACAGACAGATATAAGAGAACAAAAAGCAAACAAGATAACGGCTCACTTAATGATAGGAACATGTCTGGAAATATCAATAATAACATTGAACGTTAATGGATTGAATTCTTCAATCAAGAGACACAGACTGGCTGAATGGATAAATAATAACTAAAAAAAAAACAGAACCCTTCTATCTGTTGCCTACAAGAAATGCATCTTATGAATAAAGACATACATAGACTAAAAGTAAAGAGCTGGAAAAAGTATTCCATGCAAACAGAGATTAAAAAAAAAAAAAGACTGGAGTTGCAATACTGATTTTAGACAAAATAGGCTTTAAGACAAAAACTGTAAAAAGAGACAAAGAAAGGCATTATATAGTAGTAAAAGGGATAATTCTTTAAGACATAACACTTATTATTATCTACACACTCAACTTGGGAGCACCTAAATACATGACGGAAAGGCTGCTCAATCTAATAGGGGAGATAGGTTGCAAGAAACTAATTGTTGGGATCTCATCGCCCCATTATCTCCTTTAGACAGTTCTTCTAGACAAAAAATAAGTAGAGCGATACAGACCTAAACAATAGTATAAATAAAATGGACTTAACAGACATCTATAGAAATTTTCACCATAAGGCCACAAAATACACATTTTTATCACCCCGACATGGAACCTTTTCAAAGATTGACCATGTGATAGAGCACAAATCAAGCCTTTAAGATTCAAACACATAGAAACTATATCTAGCATCTTCTCTGACCACGATGGAATTAAGCATGATATTAATTTCAGGAAAAATCCTCAAAAATATTGGTACAAGACAAGGCTGCCCACTTTCTCCACTCCTTTTCAATATAGTACTGGAAGTCCTAGCCAACGCAATCAGAAAAGAGAGTAATATAAAA